TAGCTTGACGTTTAAAAATAAAGCATTCGCATGTTTTGGGCAGCTTGGATCACGCACCTTTCCTGAAGCAGCTCACTCTGTTTCCTCCACTATTAGATTCATTTAGATCCATTTCGTCCATAGAAAATAATTATTCAGTGTGTAATTTGACACGGTGGGCAGACGCGAGTAATCGATAATGACATTCGTTGTCGATGATTTTCATTATTGATTTTATTGATTAGTTGTTGCAGGGTGTGTATCAGTGTCCAAATGAAACAGAAGCTCATTGTCGATGCTTTAGTAGATGTTTCTCTCTGCTGCAGTGCATCATGGGTAATCTCATGTACCGTCTCACCGCACACACAGTTAAGCGGGTCCAGATCTGACACTTCAGAGGCGTAACAGAAGTCGGACGCTTTGAGACGAACATCAGGGAAACTCACGCCGGTTATTAATAGATCTCTGCTCATTTGATTCAGAGCTGTAAGTGCTGCTGAAAGGCCTTCTGGGATATTTGAGGAGTTTCCATTAGGCAGAAACATCATCCGCTCCTCCAGAAATATCCCAGCAGTCCAGACACGCACGAGCAGAAGTTCACCGGCCTGCCGCAGCAATGGCAGAGTCTGCTAGCCGACACGGCCAACCGGCCCAAGCCCATGGTGGACCCCTCCTACATCACGCCCATGAAGGTACTTCCTGTTCCTGCGGCTCACTTCCTGTGTCTCTCAGCTGTCGGCAGCTCTCGACCTCCCACACTGGTTCATTTCTTTAGTTTAATCACAGACGATTATCAGAGTAGATGAGCTCTGTTCCGAAACCCGAAATATAAATCATAAAGCATCACATGTGCTTCATGGAGGAGCCAATCCCAGAATGCACTGCAACACGCTCAGTGGAAAAAAAAGATTTAAAATGGCAGATGAAGCCAGAAAAATACCAAAGGGAAGGTTCAGAGAAAAACTGTGTAAAAACATAAAAATAAATAAATTATAAAAATAAATAAAAATGTGATTAAAATAAATAAATAAAAATGAGATTTTAAATAAATCAATAAAATATTCACATAAATAAATAAATGAAAAATGAGATTTTAAGTAAATTTGCAAAAATGTGATTCATATAAATAAATAAATAAAAACGTGATTAAATAAATAAATAATTTGATTTTAAATAAATCAATAAAAATTGAATTCAAATAAATAAAAATAAGATTTTAAATAAATACATACAAGTGTGATTAAAATAAAGAAATAAATAAATGATATTTAAAATAAATACATAAATAATTTAGATTAAATTAAAAGTAGATTTAAAATAAAAATAAATGAACAAAAATTAGGTTTAAAACAAACATAAAAATGTGATTAAAATAAATAAAAATGAGATTTTAAATTAAAAAGCTAAAATAAATAAATAAACATTAGATTTAAATACAAAAAAATGTGACTAAATAAAAATTTGAGTTAAAGTAAAAAAATGTGATTAAAACAAGTAAATAAATGAAAATAAGTAAATAAATGAAAAATACAGTAATATAATGAGTAGGAAAAAATGCAATAATGTAACTTCATATAAATCTAAATGATATTTTTCACAGTATAAGAACTATGCAGCTGTGAGCTGTAGGACGAGGAACCGCTGTTCTAGATCAGTTTCTGTAGAACAGCAGAACCAGCCGGAGAGCAGAGCTGCTGAACAGAGCCGTGTTACTGTGTGTTAGAGACGTGTGTCCTCTCTCCTGTCCTGTCCTGCTGCGTAGCTCTCGTCCTCGTCTCCTGTCTGCGTCCAGTGTCTCACCAGCAAACACACACACCAGACTAGTCCTGCCGAGCTGCTGACCAGCGGTCACCCGAGTGACACTAACGGCTGATAAACCAGACATCTCGGAGAATCATGAGACTGATATTCTGAAGCTCTTGAGCATACAAGCCCAAGACTATAAAGCAGCTCTTCTGATGGCACTGGCAGCCCTGCAGTCAGGGGTTAGAGCCCCAGAACACATGCTGATCAACACATGAACGCTGAAATCAGCCGTCTGTCAGCGTCCGCTCGTCATCTGCTCTGAACTGAAGGAGAATCTAAACGATGAGCGGTCCACGACGGTCCAAAGTAAACCATAAAGCTCCTCCATAACGGTGTGGTGGAGGTCTGTGTTCTTTACGCAGTTTCATGGTGTGTCTGTCCTGTTTGGAGCTCGACGGTCGTGATCATGATGTGAAGATTCATCAGATTTTCTCTTTAATTCAGTTCAGCATGTGACTCAGGAGCGACATGAAGAGTAAATCATGAAGCCGAAGACACTTTTATTTTTGCCCAAATTCTGTTTTATTTCCCCCCAAATTCCATGTTATATTATTTTTATTTATTACCAAATTCTGTTTTATTTCCCCCCAAATTCCATGTTATTATTTATTTATTTATTTATTTATTACCAAATTCTGTTTTATTTTCCCCCAAATTCCATGTTATTATTTATTTATTTATTTATTTATTACCAAATTCTGTTTTATTTCCCCCCAAATTCCATGTTATTATTTATTTATTTATTTATTTATTACCAAATTCTGTTTTATTTTTTCAAAAATTCCATTTAATTTTTTAACCAAGTTTTTTCCCCCCCAAATTTTTTAACCAAATACCATTTTATTTTTTTTAAGAAATTCAGTTTAATTTTTCCCCAAATTGTATTAATTAATTAATTCATTCATTCATTCATGTATTTATTTATATATATATATATATATATATATTTTTTTTTTAAACCAAATTCCATCTTTCCCCCATTTTAATTCGTCTGGATTCTGAATTTTTATAAAGAAAAAGCATGTGT